TTTTTTTTTTTTTTTGGAGAGGTTTTTGCTATAGGACAGTGTGCTCACCAAAAAGACTGAGAGACACAGAGAGACAGAAAGCAAGAAATCACCCCCTGAGGAGGAATGACCATGCCACAATCCCTTCTCCATTCTCCTCTCCGGATCTTGAGCACTCACACACATCCGCCCAGTGTCAGTTCAAGCCATTGGGTGCAGGACTCAAACCACAATCGACTACATGGGAGTCCAGCAACATAGCCATTATACTATCTATTGGTCCCAGGATAAGATGTCCAGAGTAGCTTATCAAGAACTGCTAGACACTCTTACCAGCATCAATGCTTCATAAGAAAGCTTGTGCAAAACTGTGCTCCCCAATAATAAGCTCAAATAAGGCAGATGTTACATAAGTGATAACAATTGCCCAAGAAACATAGGTTGCATAAAATCACCTTGCAAAATTTTGCATGCCAACAGTTAACCCAATTTTAATGAAAATACATATGATTCCAATGGTAATAACTGCACAGCAACATCTTTACAGAAGTGCTCTATTCACTGAAGAGTTTTTTAAAGTGTGGGCATTTTGCCAGACTGTTGAACCTCATTTCCTTCCACAGAAATGTGTTTCCACAGTGCCCACACACAACCTTTGTACCTTCTGGTTGGATTGGCAATGCAGGTTGAGCTGGATATTCTTCAGAAATAAGCATTACTGGGCCAAGGTTAATTATGCATCTATGGTTAGGTCTAGGACATTTTATTCACTGAGATGTGTCCTTACAAATGAGGAGACAATTACAAGGGCATCTAACATATTTCTTCCTTGTCAGGGGATTTTTCACTGGTTTAGCTTTATTGCAAACTGTACACTTAACCACATGCTGGTGAAGCTTGCCATCCAAATTGATTAGAGACTAGTACATGCGGTAGTTTATTACTGGCATCTGGACTGGTGTATATAGAGGTGACAGTTCTGCTCTGGGGTTACTCTATTGAAAGTACAGTGGGGCAGTGGAATTTACATTTCCAAAATGGGTTATGCTGACAGCAGAGGCAAGTGTTCATGCACCCCATCAGCAGCCATGACTACAGCAGCTGCAGGGCCAGAGGGAGGCTGAGCTAGGATTGTGGCTTTGGTGGAGGTAGTGGCTAGTGGTGGTGGTGGTGGTGCTGCTGCTGCTGCCTCTGGGAGGACCTGGGATATGTCTGTCCAGTATGTTTTTCAAGCCACCAGTCCAGGATTTGAACCACAAAGTGGGTCATGTGGAATCCAGCTGCCTTACCCACCAGAGCACAGGCTGCCCCCAGAGTTCACTTTTTAAAACATAAATCAGAAAGTCACTCTCTTGCTAAAACCTGTCCAATGGAAGCTCATTGCATCTATAGTAAATTTCAGACTCTACCATGACCTATAAATATTACCCCAAAGTCACACCTGTTTTCATGTCTTTGTACTTTCTATTTTTCTGCCTGGAATTCTTCTTCTGATCTTTGCAGGACTAGTTCTTTCTTGGCTTTTGCTTCTCAGAACAAAGACTTTTTTTTTTTTCCAGAGAGAGCTTTCCTAATCACCCCAAACAGTTACGTTTTCTGTCATACCACCCAATTACATTTTCATCACAATACTTGCAACTACCTGGTATTTCCTAAGAATTTATTTGGCTCCCCTACTAGAAATAAACTCCATAAGAATAAAGACTTGTCTATATTAGCACTGCCATATCTGCACTACTTTAAAACATTATCTGGAACATAATTGATTTACAATAAATATACATATATTTTTGTTTCTCTATAGGGCATGTGCACTCACCAGAGAGACAGAGAGAGAGAGAGAGAGAGAGAAGGAAAGTGAGAAATTATCTCCCAGGGAGATACTCATAAAGCAATCCCTTCTTCTCTGTTCTCCTCTCAGAATTTTGGGCACCCACACACACACATCCAATGCACTTTTCAATCTGCTGGGTCTGGGACTTGAAGCACTTCATTGGCCATGTGGGATCCAGCCTCCTTAACCTCCAAACCACCTGCTGGCCCAACAATAATTTTTTTTGAAGTCCATCCATTTATTTATTCAGTGAGCAATAGAGACAAGAGAGAGAGATTCCAAATTTGATCCTGGTGTCATGATCCACTCCCAGCCTCAGTCAGCCCAGATCACCAGCAAATACATTCCCAGTATACTCAAGGAGATCTCCAAACATGAACCAGAATCTTCTCATGTAGGATTGCCTTGCAATGCACTGCAGTTTACTGTTGCCACCACCTGGCTCCACAGTTTGCAATAAATGTTTTCAAATAAATGAATGGAAATAAAAAGGGATGAATGAGGGGCCAGCAGGTGGTGTTCTGGTTTTAAGGTGCTGGACTACCACATGGCCAACCGGAATTCAAGTCCTGTATCTGCAAGCTTGAAAATTTTGAGAGCAGAATGGAAGGGAAGGGATGGTGGCACAATCATATCCCCTAGAGGACGATTTCTCACTTCCCTTCTCTGTCACTCTCTGGTAAGTGTGTATATCCTATGGGAGGATAAAAAGCAAATCTAAAAAAAAGAGGGAGAAAAGAACAGAAATTTGTAGTTTAATGATTTAAGATTTTCAGTTGTTAAGATTTTGCTCTGAAGGCACAGTAATGCTTTCTCTTTGTGAATGGTTCAAAATAAAGAACAGTATGAATATATAGAAACTGAAGGATATTTGTCTGTCCTCTCTCTTTCCATATCAGAAACATTAGAAGTTGGCCTTAACCTATCATTTTTCAAAAGGGTAAACTAGGATCAAATAACCTATTTAGGATCCAGATACAGTGTGGGAAGAGGGTGGGTGAAGGAGTAGTCTGAGGAAGCACATTTAGAAGAAAAATAGAAAGGCAAAGCATTAATGGGACGAAAAAATGAGGTATAATCTGTTGAAGATAACTTTATAATATTATCAACTGTACTGCAGAGAAATGTACACATATTGGAATATTCACCTTACAAGCTAAATAACTTAATTGAATGTATAAAAGAACCTGAAATAAAAATTTTTAAAAGAAATTGTATAATAAAAACTCTATGAAAAAAGTTTTAAAAAGAAATATGCAAAAAAAAAAAAGATTTTATGGCTAATTTGTACCAGAAATGAGGCTAGACTCCAGCTCTCCTGAGTTCAGATATAGTGTTCTTTCCACACATCTTTCATTCCTAAAAATCAATATTGTGGTCATTATCAAATACTGATTCTATTATGGCATACAAAATTTAAAAGGCAGGTCATCAAACTAGTGAGGAAACAGAAGGAATTAAAGAAATAACCCTTATGAGTGTGTTGTGTGCTATAATGAAATACCTGAAATTATAAAACAATGACAAATCACACATGTACATTCCTCATGAAATCATAACCCTTTGCCAAAGCTGAATGATGCCATTTAGAAGTTAGAGCTGTATTGCAATACAGTTGGTAAAAGTAATTTGTAACACTGCAAAATGTCAAAGACATTGATTAAATTTTAACATATTGGACTTTCAAATCACAGACAGATTGTGTAGAGTAAATCAGTTTCTACTTCAACTAATAGATATTTAAAGAAATATTTTCCAAATATTGGGTCATACTTTTATTTTAGGATTAAGCCTATAGTTACAGTAAATAGAGCTTTTTTTTTTTCATATTAGGGTCAGAATAACAAAAAAATCAACTTAACCAAGATGTGTGAAAACTTCCAAACTTTATTTTCAGAATGAATGATATTTTAAAAGATTTCCAAATCACACTACGCTTTCAAATTTATATTTCAATGATTTAAATTACACAAGATCCTAAAATCTACAGGTAATGATTTTAACTGTCTCCAAATCATATACAAGACAGGAGACTGCGATCTTTATATCCTCCAGCACATTCTTTAGGTATAAAACACGTCAGACAAAGGAGTCACAAGCTCTCAACATGTGACATATATGCATTTGCAAATGAAGCAAAAGTATTAGGTAACTAACACAGAGGTAGGCACTGCAGGGAGCATAAAATATCAACAATAGATTATTTCTATTTTCAAGAAATTAGAAATCTTATTGATTAGAAAAAATTTACATTAAAATCACAATTATATTGTACTCATATACAGAGAAAAATCATACAAAATGAATAAGCTTTAAGAGAAAAGTTAACTCTTCCTTGATAAATATCAGCTTATACAATTAAGTACTGTAGATAGAGTTTCTCAGCTTACACATCTCACTTTTTAGAGTGCTCTCAGCTTTGATTCTATAACTCCCCAAAGATTCTAGGGGAGTGCAGAACCATGTGACAAAAATCTTCAGGTGGATCTTGAAACACTGTTTCATGAAATCTTTTTTAGGTAAGCAAACATTTTGCGTTTTTTTCTTACTTTTTGTACTGAAAGCACGAACTTTTTCTGGTCCTTTACAAAGTACACTTCAGATGAAACTGTTAACACTTTTTTAAAATGCTATATTCAAATGTTAACACTATTCCTTTCTGAAAGGTAATTAACAAAAAGAAATGATTTATACTCGATTGTTGATTTTGAATCAGTGTAAAGTATTGATATGCTTCCCTCTTTGGACCTCTTTTGGGGTGTCATGTAAATTATATCTTATATGCAGAAAAGTGTATAAAATACATATATGCAGTTTAAATAATAATTATAAATTGAATGCCTATGTAATTATTACTCAAATTTAAAAATATGACCCTATGTATTTTTTAAAGAGCTTTTTGCCTTAGGGCGAATGTGCTTGCTGAAGAGAGATAGAGACAGGAGCAGTGAGAAGGAAAGTGAGAAATCATCCCCCAGGGAGACTGGCCACACCATAATCCCTTCTCCTTCATTTTCCTCCTGGAATCTTGGGCATGCATGTATACATGCTTCGTGTGATTTTGAAGCCACCAGGCCTGGGACCTGAACCATGGTTTGCCATGTGGGAGTCCAGCGACATGACTACTATGCCATCTGCTGGTCCCAACCCTATGTATTTTTAATGCATGTCATAGAAGGAGGGGACTATGGAAGAGTCTGAATTTCCTTGTTCCCAGGTCAAAATGTAAGTTTTATCTCCTTGTTTCTCTTTTGAGTTCTTAGTCTCAATTTTGGAAAAGTTTCTGAAATAAATAGCACTAACATTTTATCTTCCTAACTACATTCTTTACATAATAGTTCATGATCCTCCCTGGTGATATATTTAGAGGGAGAGTAAAATATATAACTAATAAAGAATGAAATATTTTAAACTTATGCTGGTGATATTTTTATAATTATGATTTATTTTCATATACTGTTGTGCTTTTTTTTTTTTTAATAAACCTCATGTGAAAATTTTTCACAGGGAGGAATGATTAACAAGCCCAAGCAGAATGTGCTCTCTTTCTGATTCTCACCTGCACTGGCCCCAAATACTGAGGAGTTCATTGAATGACTGATATTTCATCTTTGGCAAAAAATATTGCAGTCTTCTGGGGCTTATCATTTTATGCTGTATTTTGCATTTAGGTAAAATTCTTCACTCAACAAGCAGTTACTGAGTTCAATGCAGTATTAGACAACAGGAATAGGTGAAGAAGAGTAGAAAATAAATCCTTTCCCCTCAGGGAAGGAGGCTTACAAAATATTTATGAGCATCCACTCAGGAGACAACTGAAAAGAACTTTCAATTCATAAACAATGATGGGTAGGTAGAGTACAGAATGAATACAGAAACTCAAGAGACTTAAAATCTTTGTATTTCAAATGTGGTTTATAACATGATTGTTTCAAACTTGCAGTGCATGTTACCAACAAAATCATAAATAAATTGTTGGTTGATTTATAAATATAGACAAATATTGGAAAAGAAAAGTGATTACTAAATAAGCTTATAAAATATATCTATACAGGGACCAGCAGTGGGCATAATGGATATGTTATTGGATTCCCATGAAGTCGACCGTGGTTTGAGTCCTGGATCCGGTGGCTTCAACTCACACCAGATGTGTGTACATATGTGCCTAAGATCCTGAGAGGAGAATGGAGGAGAAGGGATTGTGGTGTGGCCATCCCCCCGGGGGGGTGATTTCTCACTTTCTGTCTCTCTGTCTCTCTTTCTGGTGAGTGCACACACCCTATAGCAAAAACTCCTATCAGTAAAATAAATATACACACATACACACACACACACACACACACACACACACACACATTGTGAATGCTGATACTTGATGCTTGAGAAAGAACATGTTTAATGAAAGCAGCTATGTGGGGCTATCTATGGGGATTCTAAAGAAATTCCTCTCAAGAGCAATTCTGGCCCTTGAGGTATCTCTGTTTTAATTTCAAAACATACATTTTTCATTTTCATTTATTTATTGAGACTCTCCACTGTGTGTCAGGTACTGTTAACACATGGTGAGCATACATGGAGACAATAAGGGAGCACAGGGAGCTAATATGAATGGGGAATAGAAAAAAATAATGGTGTCAAGAACTGAGTAGTGGAGGCCAACCATTTGGCATGATGGTTAAGGTGACTGGATCCCACATGGTTGACTCTGTGGTTTGAATCCAGGACTCAGAGGCTCAAAAACACACCAGGCCACATGAGCATGTGTGCTCAAAATCCTAAGAGGAGAATAGAAGATTATGGCGGGGGTAGACTTCCCTGTGGGGGGGGGTCTCTCTCTCTCTCTCTCTCCCCCTCTGTCTCTTTGGTGAGCACATATGCCTAGAGCAAAATAAAAAGCACTGAGTAGTGCTTCCTTCATGGAGGTTTGTCACCAGCATTACTCTATGACCAGTATTAATTTTCTACTTATCATCCATGTGATTAGGGTTAGAATTTCTCCTTGTTCCCAAATGGAAATTATGAAGGGAAGAGGAAATATAGAACACAAATATTTCCTAAGGTTTCTGACAATAACTAAAAGATGGGAAAGGAATTCATGAGAGTAAAAGATTTCCTGATCTATGATAAGTGAAAGAAAAAAATGGGCATGATTATTCTGAGAAGGGAGAAGGCAGAAGTCATCAAGTCTTGCCATCAGTCATGGAGAGCTTGGGCACTGTTACTAGTGATTTGGAAAAGGAGCAATGTGCTTTGACATTGTCTTGAACATTGAACATGATCTGTCTTGAACATTTCTTTTCTCCTCTCCCCTTTCCACTTCCCCCTTTGCCTCCTTTCCCTCCTTCCTTTCTTCCTCTTGCCCCTTCCCTTCCCTCTCCACTTCCCTCTCTCTCTCTCTCTCTCTCTTTTCCTCCTTTCTTTCCTTTCTCCCTTCCTTAAAGCAAACATGTATTGGTGATTGCCAGGTATTATACTAAGCATTAAGGATACAGAGATGTACATGATATAGTTTTAGTGTAGGAGTTTGTAATCTAGAACAGGGGTCCGAACTGAAAGATTAGTTATATACAGGTGTGGAAAATTTAACTATTTAACAACCCATGTAGTACATGGATTGTTAAGACTATATGCCAGTCAAAGTTCAAGTGTGGGGTTTGGAAAGTCCTCTCCTGTGACAGTAGTTAACTTTGTGGTTGCTAGATAGGACAGAGGTAGGTGTTTCTGAGGGAGAAACTGGAGTCGCTCAAACAGTTGGGTGGGCAAGAGGACTTGGGAATGGAGGTAGTTTTTCAGGGCAGTCGCTGTTTACCAAGTGATTTAAAAAAGTATTTGTCATTTTAACACTGTCATTTAACAATGATATAAATGTATCGATGGATACCAGCTAAGTCCCTAGCTCTACCTATATCCAATACTCAAAAAGATTAGGCTGTGGTTGTAGTGGGATTATGTGAGAAAGAAGCTTCCCTCAGTGACCCTTGATCTTAGTCTTTATGAAGGTAAAGGACATCTGTTGGTGATGAGGAAGTGGAGGGCATTTAACACATGAGAAACAGCATACATAAATGTGGAAATGGATAAAGTCTATACAGAATGTCATAAAGAAATCAACTTAATTGAAGCTGTGGGTAGTGAGACTATATCAGCTGTGGCATCACTTGGAAAGAGAGAAACTTAATAGAGTTCGGAGTTCAGTTCTGCTATAGCAGAGAAAATGAGGGCTCTACATCTTTGAGCAGAGAATGGTATGAGGAAAGTGACATATGTAGGAAAATATTCTGCTGGCTATATGAAGAGACTGAAAAAGGGAGAAGTCAGTTTAAGAAGCTACTGCAGCAAACCTGGTAGAGTTGATTACATCATGGAAAGGATGGTGACTATGGAAGTGAAATAAAGGGTTCAATCTGACAGATATTTCAGAACCATGCGAGGAATAGAGAAAAGGAACCAAGAATAAGTGTAATACATATTTTCCTAAATATGAAAGCTAGTTTTCTAAAGAACCAAAGGAAAATGCAAGTCAATAATAATAACTCCTTTAAAATAAAAAATTTAACCATGTAATGTCCCTATTGAATTAACAAAATAAAGATTCTAATCTTCGAAGATACGGCAGTATAAACCAATTATCTTTGACACTAAGAACAATATTGTTACATGATACAAACAAGGAACAGCATTAAGCTACATTTTCTGTTGTTCTTGTATGTTAGCATAAAAAACCTACATAGTTTGAAATCATTGAAATTGATGTGAGACCTAGCAGGTCTCATTGTTTTGATGTTTCACTTATTAAAAGTCATTTCTAAATAAAACGTTAATCTTTTGAAGGTGGGAAGAAACGTTTGATTTTTAACTGAGTCAATTTTCAGTTGACTCTTAAGATAACAGGGAAGCTTTAGGAGCCTAATTAAACCACATATTTGTTCTAATTACTTTAGCTTCAGACTGCTAAGAAACAAAAGCAGCAAACAGACCTGTTCTGTATGCAGCAGTCAGGCATTTGACAGTTATTTTCTCCAGCAGAGGTTTTGAGAAGTACAGAAGTAAAGAAGCTGAGAAGCAAAGCCATCATCTGCAAACGGTGGCTGCAGCCACCAACTAGAGGACAGCCCTTATTCCTGCATAGTACGGAAAGCATCGTTCATTGTACACGATTTTATTCAAGTCTCCACATAGAGCAATCATCATGGCTAGCATCATTTTCATTTATCAGTTCTAGCACATTTTTATCAACATAATTGGATGTTAGCTCACAAAGATTATAAGGTTACTACATGATAATTCACACATCGGACAATAATAATAGTTCTTTTCTATTGATTTCTTTTCCTCTTAGGCTTTATTCTCCTGAGTAAAGTCCATATTTAATTCAACAATTTAATTTTTAAAAATTTTTCAATTCATTATCTTTCTTTCTCTCTTTCTTTCTCTCTCTCTCTTTCTCTCTCTCTCTCTCTCTTTCTTTCTCTCTCTTTCTTTCTTTCTTTCTTTCTTTCTTTCTTTCTTTCTTTCTTTCTTTCTTTCTTTCTTTCTTTCTTTCTTTCTCTCTCTCTCTCTCTTTCTTTCTTTCTTTCTTTCTTTCTCTCTCTCTCTCTCTCTCTCTCTCTCTTTCTTTCTTATTTTTGAAGTTGACCAGAGAGAGAGAAGGAAAGTGAGAAAGCAAGCTGTCAGGTCCAGGCATCGAACCACAGTCAGCCATGTGGGAGTCCAGCGGCCTTAACCACTACGCCACCTGTCGGACCCTCAACAGTTTAATTTTTATGTTGAGTAAATCTACACTTCAGTTATTCATTCTAATTTTAGTACAAATTGAGTTTAGGATGCTAATGATCTTATATGTAAGGAAAAAGCAGGTGAGCTTTCATTAACACTGACTACTCGACTTAGTCAAACAATTTTTCTTAAAATAGGATTCACAGAAAATTCTTTTTAAAGGCAAACCTCATCAGAGGTTTGAGTATTTATTTATTAGATGACATTTGTTTAAAAGGTATTATGGCTGTTTATCCATTAGATTCTAGGTATAAAATACAAGCTGTAATGCCTGTTTTTTTTGTTTGTTTTTGTTTTTTTGTTTTTTGTTTTTTGTTTTTTTTGGTGGTTGTTGTTTGTTTTTTCAGATAAGCTGACAAGCTAATGTAAGAAATGTTATAGGTTTTATTACGTTTTACTTGTTTTAAACAATTTATTTCAGACTCTCAGTTAAGAGTCCAAATTTTAAAGATATTATAGCTGGATATGCAAAGCAACTTCAGCTTTCTAAGGTAACTTGTTCTAAAAATAAAAAACAAAACTTCAGGAGACAGGAATCTAGAATGAAAAGAGAGCAGAGCATTAAAGCAACCATCTGGCGAGTTCAGGCCAAATACAAAGTCTCTACTTTTTGCCCAAGCCATGTAGATGTCTGTACCACCCCTGTGCTTTATTTCACCTATGGAAACCTGACCTAAACTAAACAACTATTCTATATCATTAAGTTGTCCAGGAAGATGAAAGTTTAAATATATGTCAGACAAGCTGCAGCATCTGGTGCAATTCAATAATGATGGTCTCCTCCAGAGAGCTTTGGTGTTAGAACAACTTTAAAACTGAGGTTAGTCAGGAGGAAAATAGTGTTCTACTCAGATACCCTCCCTGTTCACAGGTACTCATATTTGCCAGGTCCTCTTCCATTGCAGGAAAACATGCAAAGTAAAATCTCTCTATGAAACATTTCACTGTTTATAATTCCATTTTGCTGCAGCCAAATAACATATCTTGGATAAAAAAGTGATCGGCACTGTTTCATCTTTCACAGTAATTGTTAAAAAACTATTTTTGCACTTATTTTCACACACATTGATTAGTCCTAGGTTTTTCTCCCCCAACTGTAGAGAGTAATGTCTTATATTGCTTCAAAATGAAATCTAAAATGTCACTAGTTCAGATTGCTCTCTTATAATTTGTTGACATGAAAACAAACTTAGTCCACTCTTTAAAAGAGCACATAAGCTTCGGTAGATAAGGTCTTTTAAAAGAAATGATCACGGTGACATCTGTGTGCATCTATCGCTCCCTTGTAAACTGTGTAACAAACCACACAGTGCCAAATTTACACATCTTTCCACATAGAGGAGAACCAGGTTTAAATGTGTTTTTTTAAATCAATAGACTAGGAAAACAACTTACAACAAATATGAGTTTTAATGTCTTTATTATGTAAATTAACACACATAAGAAAAAATACTAAGAATCCATACATAAGGCAAAAGAGATAAAAATACACTTCATATACACTTCATTGAAGATAACATATTTTCAGAAAAATATATATGTAAACATTTTATCTCAGTAGTAAACAAAAATTTAAATTAAAAAAATGAAATACCATTTCACTCATCAGTTATTTTTTATAAAAATAAGAATATCAAATTCTGGAAACTAGTGTGGGGACAGGGTAAAGAGATAAAACATTTTTGAAAAATTTATAAAATAGTCTTACCTTTTAACTCAGTAATTCCAGTCCTTGGTTTCCACCCCAAGAGAATTTAAAAAAAAGAAGTTTTTGGCACAAAGATACAAAGATATTCATTGCAGCATTTTTTATAATACTGAAAAATTTTCAAAATATCCTAAATACCCTAAACCAGAGGGATGATTAAGTATATTAATAATAATCCCTGTATGGGATAGTATGCTGCATTTTAAATGATGTTTTAAACTAATCCATAATAATAAAGAGAAATGTGACTGTGTAATGCTAAGTGGAAAAGAACAGGATACAAAATTAAATAAATTGAAAGCCTGGGGACAAGAAAATTATTAAATGTCTTAGGTATTTTCCAAATTTTATTTAAAATACATTTTAATGTTTTCAAAATATTTTATTATGTAATGTCACGTTATTGCTCAAAGTAGTTTCAAATGCATTGCCTTATTTGTTTTCATATTTTTATCTAAAAACAGTATCTTAGGTTTGGATAAACATAAAATATAATGTCTTTCATAAAAAATCCATAACTGAGAGTACATATGACCATCCTGGATATAAGTGTAGTGACTCTTGCACATATGTTGTTAGGCAGTTGAAACATGTAGGCAGCAGTCCTACTAAGCACTCAGCATTCAAGCTCATTGTGCCTAAGGTCCCTTTCAGGAACCATGGCTTTTCCTAGCACCTGTGACTATACTGCTCTTACAAACTGATAGCAGCAGAGGGAATATTGTTTCTAATATCTTTCAAACGACTAAAACCAATTTCTTGCCCCATCCCCAAATCAAAACATCAACAAATGTATTTTTTATCAATATTTATTCAAATACATTTGTTTTGTTTCTAACAGAGAGCGAATCTTGAGAGGGCAGAGATAGGGGCTATTTTTATAATGTATACATTGCTTAGTTTACTGTGAAATTTAATAAATAATACCCTTTTCAGTATCTACCCTAGGGCAATGGTGAACTGACATTCCTTTCTTTTAGAGAGAAATACCATATATCTCCCCTTCCCCCACCTCAAATTCCTCTTTGCAAATGTAGTCACCCCTTTGACACTCCAATGTAATCTCGACCCATCTCCATCTACCCTTAAGAATCTGAAATCCCAGTCAAAGACAAACTGAGAAAGGGGGTGGAGGACAGAGAAAGAGAAATGGAGAGAGAAGGAAAAAAAAAGAAACCCTTCAGGAGGTTGCACTTACACTCTAGCAGATTTTCCAGAAACAAGGGAGGCGGTAGTTGTTATTTTTGTGATAACAACTTGTAGACTGAAATTCAGCAAAGATCTTCGTTTCTTGACGCGAGGGAGGTGAAATATAGTCTAGGATATGTATTCGATATGGTCTTTTGTTCTAGGTAAAAGCTTTTCTTTTTCTAAAGTTTCTTGGCCTCGCTCAAGGAAAGGGAAACAATTTCTTGATATTCTTTTAAAGGCACCTTTCTAAGAAGTATCTCTCAAAGGAAAAATATCACGACAGAACAACACTGGTGTATTTCAGTAAGAATCGAATCCGATTCTTTTCAACATGGCTGTATAGTTTGCAGGTCCCCAAATTTGTTCTTTCACAGTCATCAATCAAAGCATAAACCAGAAACCCCATCTTTAGCGAACCTGTTTGACGGACTAGAAACGCGCTTTAATTATAGATTATGTTCATTTTGAAGGCATCGCTGTTACTTGTGTGCTTTAAGAGTCTGGAGCTTTTGTCAGGAGTGGAGAGTGGTCTAGTAGAGAGCCAGCTGCGCCACGGACCGCAGGTCTGAGAGCCCTGGTCGTTAACACGTATTCAGGGCGTATAGACACTTTCTCCCAAGAATCTTGGCCCGCAGTTCTCAGCGAGAGGGAGTGGACCACAGAGACAGGAATAGAGAATTTACGCGAACAACAGGGAGATAGAGAGGAAGCCCAAATCAGTCCCTGGGTCACCGTGGCCCTGGGATTTGCACGGAGTTTATCACCACCATTAACAGCTACTTGTTTAGGGTTGTTTACCGCCTGAGCGCGCGACAACCAGACAGCGAAGCCCACTGCCGGACACCCGCCACGCCCCCTCTCCACTCAGCTCCCCTCCCTCCCCGAAAACTAATGAATTCCGGCCGACCTCCTGCCAGACCCTCCTATTGGCTCCTATCCTAACCAATCAGAGCCTTGCAACAGTTTCACCTGGCTCTCACTTCCCAAATAAACAAACAAACTGTCCCGCGATTGTGCCAGCTCCGCTCCCTGGCGCCACGGGCGGCGCTGGC